TCCGGGTCCACTGGTGGAACCTCTTCTAACTGGTTCGGTAGATTTGACGAACCGGTTCTACCAAATAGGTGCGAACTGGTAGGAACCCAACTCTGTTTCTGACTCTCATTCGCATATATGCAGAGTATATATGGAGGTTGCGGTGCAGTTAGCAGAGATGCTACATTTAGGATAGGGTCAGTGTCAGTGGTGAAATTTACATTTTTTTACTACTGGTTCTGTGGGTGTGGCTTGGTGGGCGTGGCAGGGGAAGGATACTGCAAAATCTCCATCCCTATCTCACTCTGGGATCAGTCAGATATGGTATTTGCCGGTTCTCTGAACTATTCAAAATTTCTGCTACCGGTTCTCTAGAATTGGTCAGAACTTGCTGAATTTCACCCTCGGTGAGTGTGGCAATTCAGTCTTCCTTATATAGAGCAACAAAGGAAAAGGACTTTGAAAAGAGAGATTACCTGGACAGCAGAATTCACCTATTAATCTCCAAGAAGCAGCAAATTATAGCTTCTCTCCAAATATTATAGCTTCACTACTGTGCCCCATTGCAAGCTTCTAGCAGATAGCCTGCATTCAGGGAAAGGGCAACCATCAAAATATTAATCTGGTTTTTGTCAGCCGATTAAAAAAAAAAGGAGAACTATACCAGACAAATCTTACTGAAAAAGATAGAAGTAAACATAAAGTCATCATTTGCTTAAGTTCAGTGTGACCATCTCTCTATGTGTCACTATTGTGCACATCTGTTGATTAGCTGTTTATATTTAGTTACCTTGGAAACCAGCAGTTAGCCTCCACTTATAATTATGAGGGCACCAGCCTACTTTCATAAAATGGAAAACATGTTAGGAATTTTTTTTGGTAACATTAAGCCATTTTACCTCCACATATTCTGTTATTTGTAAAAGCTAATGCTTGCTTTCTAGCAATTTAAAATGTAGTACAGATGCATTATGCCACCAATCTCAACTGGTTGAAATTGAATAAAATTTGGCTGAGATTGAGTAATTATAAAATTCTTGACATATATCAGCACGGTACCATCCATGTTGAAGGTTAGGAAAATATTTCCTTAAGGATTTTGGGCAGAGGATGGCAACTATGGGCGCTTTATGACCTGTATACTTCAATTCCCAGAATTCCATCTGGCTCATGAATTCTGGGAATTGAAGTCCACAGGTTGGAAAGGGACCATAGTTGCCCACCCCTGATTTGGGGGAACTGGGAGATGGTTAAAAAAAATCAGAACAGCTGCTGGAACCTGCATTTTTGTAAGTTAAGAAAAATAAAAAAACCCATACATTGTTAAACTAATAAGAGTAGGAAAGTTCCATTTTAATGGAGGGATGTAAGGGAGTGAAGTTGGGGGAGTTATTTTCTCTTTTCCAAAGTAGCTGCAGTCATGCAGATAAGTCTTTCCACCCTTCCCCATAGTGTTGTGGCCCGCCAGCAGCCAGCAGAGCTGGCAGCAGAGTTGGACAGTGAGGAGGTTGGGGAGGAGCATGAGGCTGGGGACGGCTCGGATGAGGGCTCTGTGTTGGAGGCAGAGACCAGGCTGAGGCTGTCTGGCAGTGATTAGGTGCCTTCGGAGCTAGACAGCAGTGAGGCAGAGGAACAGCTAGAGCCTGTTCCCAGGTTGCGCATGTGCAGAGCTGTCAGAAGAAAAGAACAACTCAGAAATCAGGGTAGACTTGGCAGTAAAGTCACAGGTGGAAGGTGATTGGCCCCTCCCATAGGAAATAAAAGAGGAGCAAAAGGGGAGCTTTTGCAGGAAACAATTCATTCGTTCAGTCATTAGATTCATTTCAGGAGTGTGAAGATCTGTCCGTGAATCTCAGAGACTCTGTGCCCAGTCTTTCCTTGCACAG